AGGTGGCATGGAGCTCCGGGCAATTTCCCTGTTTCCTACCCCTTAATGCCAGCCCTGGCTTTTATATGGAGAAAAACAGCTGTTGTGGCACAGGTGGGCCATGGAGTTTATATAGCGTGTTGTCAGGGGCCTCAGAAAGAAAAAAGTTGAGAACCCCTGAAATAAAGAGACAAGATGGGAGAGGTAAGATCTTTTATTAGGCCAGCTTCTGTTGATGAGAGAGACAAGCTTTTGAGCTACACAGAGCTCTTCTTCAGGTCTATCTCTGTGTATCGCAAAGTCTTGTCTTTCTCACCACAGAAGTTGGTCCAATGAAAGATATTACCTCGCCCACTTTGTGTCTCTAATATCCTGGGACCAGCACAGCTACAACACTGTAAGTATTAAATAAGCCTGTCATTTTAACATCCTGTTCCCTTTCCCTTTGCTGGAGAGAGTATTTTTGGAAGGGAAAAAAACCCTTGTTTGACTGTCTTTTAGATGGTAATAACTGATGGTAATAGCAAAGAGAGAGGATGTTAGTTGAGATGGGCTGGAGCTGTCATTGCTGTTGTTGTTAAAGTCCAATCCCATTTTCTAGAAAACAAGACAAACACATATACAGGAAGGGAGAGAAAAGAACAGCAAAGCAAATAAAAATGCAGCTTCTTCCTCTGAAGTTGACTTTCACTTGCAACCTCATGGCTGGAAAACACAGGCCCAGCACGTGGTCTTACCAGCCCCTCCGAGAACTGGCAAACTTGTACCAGCATTAGGTTGCTTAGGGCATTGCTCTTAGTTGCCTCTCTGGTCATAGGCTGACATCAGTATAACAGCATATGCAGTCCTGGCCAGCTGACCCAGACTCTTATTAAACAGAAGGCAAAAGGAGAGAGAGAAGGAAGAAAATATGTAAGGTGAGGAAGGAAAAGGACACAGAGGGGTGGGGGAAGCCAAAATCTCATTATCTCGAGTGGTGCTGAAGAATGTAGTCAGCACTAGTGGAGGGAGTGGTTTCATCTGTTTGGCCCAATTTGGTGAAGACATCCCTCAGGATGAGTGTGTAGGAGGTCCAGGCTCCGAGGAGATGTTGAGGGTGTTGGTGTTGGTCCTGCTTTGAGCAGGGGGTTGGACTAGATGACCTCCTGAGGTCTCTTCCAACCCTAATCTTCTATGATTCTATGATGGTATCCAGCAGCCATGATGATAAAACTTGCTGCAACAGTTGCTGGCAGACAGTTCCTTTTCCAGCTAATTTTCCCCAAAGTCTTTTCCTGCTAAGAACCCCAAAAGGGAGTGATGGGCAGAATAGCCCACCCTCTTATTATTTTGACCACCAAGCAGCCTAATTCCCAACACACCAATTTTGTTTCATTGGCTTTTGGTCTTGTTTACCAAGCATAATCCTCAGACAGTCCTTGAGCTGTATCCGTAAAACCCTTTTGGTTTAAAATAATTCAGTTTTTCTGTCTCCTGACATCTTGTCTTAAACAATTTTCTGTAACAGGTTATTGTGACAATTTCACTCACTTTTTACAGCGGAGGTTACAGGTAGGATAAATATGTAAGCCCAAATATTACTACAGCCCTGATGTGCCCAAATTGCTTTTGAAAATGGGACTCAGGCTCCCAAGTCAATAAGGTGGTTTTGAAAATCATACTACCTCCTTCTTGTTGTTGTTTGTCTGTCTTGTCTATTTAGATTATAAACCGTTCCAGTTAGGGTCTATATGTGTGTACAGTACCTGACACATTGGGGTCCTGATCTCAGCTGGGTCCTATAGATGCTAATGTAATACAAATAGCACTAATTTTACCAATGAAGAAATTTGTGTGAAGTCAGGATTCATGCAAAATTAATATCCCTTGTAGATGAATGGTCTAGAGCTGTAGTGAAGGTGTTGCTGCTCTCTGCTACATTACAAGCCTTAATTTAATACAGAGCAGTCCTTAAGAGTTTATAAAAAATACCACTTTTTTCCAGGACCTCTGTCCAAAACTCGTGAGGAAACATGAACTTCCTAATAATACCAGGATGTGACAAATGGCAGTGCTTATTTTTATTATTGTACAGAAACGTCTTCCCTTTAGACTCAAATAGAGTTACAAATGGTATGTGGCTAGAGACTAATAGGAGAGATGCTTCAAAGCCTTTTTGTCCATGCCCTCCTTGTCCATGGTGGGCCAAAAAAGAAAAAAAAATGGCTATGTTCTAATCTGTTCTCAATATAAAGAAAAATGCTCCCACTTCAAAGGCGCTAGAGAAACACCTGTTACGTTACCCAAAGCCAGGGGCGTGTGGGGGGAGATTTCCCCCTGGTGCAACTCCAGGAGAAAATATACGGGGTAATAAAGAAAAAGAAAGGCAAAGTAATTTTGTTTCGCGAAAATGGATAATGCACCTGTCAACATGTATTTAGTCTGGCGGCCTTCAGTGACATTTTCTAGCGACAGCAGAAGAGAGGCTAAAATTGCATCTAGGAGACCCCATATAGAGTCGGGAAACAGAGCTCTGTATTAATTTTAACATGGAGCAAATTGCTTAAGCCAAACTCCCCCCATATCATTTGTTGCATTAGGATCTCCCTCACACCCCTCCTCCAAAATGCCCCACTGACTAGTTCGGTGTTGGGTTGGTGTTGTTTTTTTCTTCACATACATTTCAAAAGAAAAAGGAGAAAAATCTGAGGCCATCTGCTATCTTCTTTATGGGGAAAAAAATAAAACCTACAATTAGTGTCTTGTTCATCTTTTCTTTTTTGAAAAAAGAGAACTATTATGCAAATACTCCACAATTTGGTTTCAAATACTCTTTGTACTGTGATGAACAATTTTCTTTAATACAAACCCAACCTCCTTGCCAGGACTTTTTTTTTTAAAAAATGGGGGGAAAAAAACTTTTATGAGACTTCTCTTTATTGTTGTGTTTTTCTGATGCTAAGGTTTTGTCATCCTCTCTTTGTGTGATATTATTATTGCTGTTATTCTTTAAGTTGTCAGTTATACATTGCACAGCTTTTTGGGGGGAGAAAACCAAAAGAGCTTCACAAAACCCCATTTCCATCTCGCTTTTCAGTGTTCCTTTGCCTCAGTGAAATGATTGCCACGGAAAGGCAGAGCTCAGTAAATCAGAGGGGCTTTTCCCCTTGCCTCTTCTGAAAGCTGCCTGCTTGGTGGTGGCAGCTTTGCTGTAAGTGAAGATTTGCAGTTGAATTATAGCTGCAGACTTTGGTGTCTGATCCTGCAGGACTTGCAGTCACTGGGAGATTCCGGAGTAAGGACTGAGTGTATAGAGCCAAGTCTTGCAGCCCTTACTAGCAGCATTATTACAGTAACATTTAAAGGCCTCGGCTCAGACCGGGCCCCCCGTTGTGCTATGCAGACAGGTAGCAAGAGACCGGTCCTGTCCCAAAGACAGGTCTGGAGAAGACAAAGGGTGGGAGACAGGAAGGGTTATTATCCCCGTTTTATAGCTGGGGATCTAAGGCATGGAGAAATTAAGCGATTGGCCCCAAGGTCATACAGGAAGGCTGTGGAAGAGCTAGGAATTGAACCCAGGAGTAAGATTTTTCAAGAGTCTCAGTGCCTTAGGAACACAAGTCCCAATGAATTTTGATGAGATTTGTGAGCCTAATTCACTTAGGCCCATTTAAAAATCTTCTCTGTCCCAGTCCAAGGCATGAAATAAAAAATGAACTTTGAATTAGGGAAAATTCCCATTACTATCAGTTAGCTACATTATAGGCTAGATCCTGCAGTGTGCTGAGCAGTCTGGCCATCATCCTACAAAGCCCTTCACCAGAGGCTTAGCTTTCACTGTGTGCTTTTAGCACTTTGCTGGGTCTGGAATGGTCAACATCGTGTAGGATCGAGCCCCAGGACTCGTGTAGTGCTAGGACTAAGAGCTGCAAAGTCTGGTTCTTACACTATAATGCAGAGGTCATCAAACTGTGGGATGTGCTCCCTACAGGGCTGGCTCCAGGCACCAGCTTACCAAGCAGGTGCTTGGGGCGGCCACTCCGGAGAGGGGCGGCACGTCCTGCTGTTCGGCGGCAATTCGGCGGACGGTCCCTCACTCCAGCTTGGAGCAAAGGACCTCCCGCCAAATTGCCGCCGCAGATCACGATCGCGGCTTTTTTTTTTTTTTGGGCTGCTGGGGGCAGCCAAACCCCTGGGAGGGTATGGAGGCAGGTTTGGGGGGCACAGTGGGCCTTGGCTAGCCCACATGGGGGGCAGGGAGGGAGCACCACCCAGCCCCGCCACAAACCCAGCTGTGCTGCGGCTCGGCCATGGCCCTGCACCTGACCCTGTCCCCAGCCTCGGCATGGCTCTGCACCCAGCCAGGGGTCCAGCTGCTGGTCCCCACTCTGGCCCGGCTGTGGACCTGGCCCCAGCCTCAGCCCCTGGCCGTGGCTCTGTTCTCAGCCCCACCCCCAGCCTCGGCCCCCTTACCCCTGTCCATGCTCTTCTCTCCTCGACCCCCGAGCCATGGCCCCACTCCAGGCTTTGGCTCCGGGGGCTGTGGGTGATGCAGACAGGGGGAAGGGGGCGTGACCCTCAAAAGTTTGGGGACCATTGCTATAACAGTTGCTTAATGCCAAGCACGTTTTGGGAAAGATGCAAGGAAATAGGTATTAATAGCTACGTCTCTTAAGGAGAAAGAGATTTCATGCTATGAATATGATCAGCTACACCACTGTTACCTCCTCAGGGGGCTGTCTCAGCAAGAGGTGGTGTAGGGCAGGGCAGATTTTCCCGAACAGCTGTCAGTGGAGCAATGCGGCTTTACAGCAGCTGATGCCCAGGCCCATTGTTTAGCCTTGTGTAACATAAATGACATCCATTTGGACCTTGCTGAAGAGTAGCTTGTGCGATCTCATCACAACGGGAAGATAGTGTGAACCTTTATTGTACTTCAGGGGACACCAAATCCCTTTTGATAGCGTGTGGGGAGCCGTGAAGCTGCAGTGAATGGAACCTTTGAATGCAATGATGGATTTGGGATGTTTTTGTTGTTACAGGAAGCTCTTATCATGGCAAGCATGGATCATCCACACCTGGTGCGATTACTGGGCGTCTGCTTGAGCCCTACCATACAGCTCGTCACTCAGCTGATGCCCCATGGCTGCTTGTTGGACTATGTTCACGAACACAAGGATAACATTGGCTCGCAGCTCCTGCTGAACTGGTGTGTCCAGATAGCCAAGGTAAGGTCCTTCCGTTTTTTGGATGTTTCCAGGATTAAACAAATGAACACGGCCGTTTCTGAAAGTCAGCAGTACCCATTCCTATGCAGAAAACAAGAGAGGAAAATCTATTCTTCTAAGGCAGTTTGGTGATCTTTCTAATTACCTCCGTGCAATAATACAATACATACTGGTGAGGTAACAATCGGACTCAGCCCCATATACAAAGCGTTTTTTTACTGTGGGGTTTTGGAAGATTTGAAGAGGAAAGGCCTCCTCTTCCCTTGATCCGAGTCCTGGCACAGAATGATTATGCAACCTCTTCTGCTGCTGCTTCAGTAAGTAAGAATGACGCCTTCAGAGTTCAGATGTGTTCTTGATTGCTCAAAGAGCGTCAATTGAGAGGTACTAACAGTAGACCTTAAATCCAGCCTTAATATACTCCTTACACAGTAGTGTGTTGTTCATGAACTTGTTGCCACAAATAAGTTGGTATTTAATGGCATGCTTAGGAATCACTTTTTTAGGTATCAGGTCACGATGAATGAAAAGATTTGGAAGTGTTAAGGGACTACAATTTGCATCCATTGTACACTACCAGGGTGGTATCTCTCTTGCACATATGGCAACCAGAGGGGTATGAAAGGACTTTACTGTGTGTGTGTGAGACTGACTCTGAATCAGGCGCTAACTACTTGTACAATTATTTAAAAGTAACTTTTTCACAACAGAACAGAAAATGTTAGTAACTCCCACGTGAGTGCATGTTACAGATTATCCTTGGTGCCCAATCTGCGAGGGTAGGAATCTGCTATAGCAGCTGTTAACAAGTCCTGGCTCTTAGCTCAAGTTGTAGCAGCTTTAGCACTGGGGGGCCTACATTCAATCCCCAATGTGTCACACCAGGGGGAAGTCATCACAAAAATATTGTTGTGGAGATTTTTTGCTTTTTGTTTTAACAAGTGAATATTATGCTTATGAAAGTGAAGCACCAATGAAGTTGTCCAATGCAAAATCCAGCCCTGCATTTGTGTGCCAGAAGGGAAAGATGTCTGAGGGTTCAAACAGGCCCTTCTTTGCCCTTCTGCCTGTATCCCTATGAGGGGCAGAACACAAAGGCAGTCCTCTTGCCCTCTTCAAGGATTCCTCATTTTTCCAGGACTAGAGATTCCATCATTTTTCATTGGCATTTTCAGGTACCTTGACAATGGATGAAATTACCTTAATGCTGGGTGTGGGAGGCTAATCCAAAGAGATACCATGTAATTAATATTTAATACATGTTTTCATGTTGCATCAAAGCTGTAGATGGGGGCAGGGAGGAAGACAAATAGGCAAAAATATGTAGAGGTATAAATAAAAAAAATAAATTAATTAAAGGAGATGTCCTTTCTCCTAGAACTGGAAAGGACCTTGAAAGGTCATTGAGTCCAGCCCCCTGCCTTCACTAGCAGGACCAAGTACTGATTTTGCCCCAGATCCCTAAGAGGCCCCCTCAAGGATTGAACTCACAACCGTGGGTTTCGCAGGCCAATGCTCAAACCACTGAGCTATCCCTCCCCCCCTACATTATGTTTAGATATGGCAGCATCCATGATGCTAATGCAGCAGAAGCTGTACAGCAGGCTGGGGCCGGTAACTGGGTAGGTGCCCATCTCTGGGTATGGGAAGGGGCATACCCAGAAGTGGTTTCAGCATGAGGATGGGAGAGCATATGTTTTTCTCTTCTCATCCTCTTCCTCAGCTCTTCCTCTTTTTCATCTGCTCTCCACTCTCTTGATTATTGATGGTGGTTATTATTTATGACAAAACCCTTACTTGGTACCATACGCATAAAGATAACCTGCCTTTGGTTTCAAATGCTACACTACTACCTGGTTGTGCAGTGTATATTAAGAACATAAGAACGGCCATACTGGGTCAGACCAAAGGTCCATCCAGCCTAGTATCCTGTCTACTGACGGTGGCCAATGCCAGGTGCCCCAGAGGGAGTGAACCTAACAGGTAATGATCAAGTGATCTCTCACTTGCCATCCATCTCCACCCTCTGACAAACAGAGGCTAAGGACACCCTTCCTTACCCATCCTGGCTAATAGCCATTAATGGACTTATTGAGACCAAATCTATTACTCTGTAATAGCTATGTAGGGATAGACTGATTCCATGCTGGAGCTGAAGCAGAACGGCAGTGATCAGTAGCAGAGGGTGCTGCCAGACACTCAGCACTTCCGAAAGGAATTCATTCAAAATTGACGCCCCTTATTGATGGGATTCTGGGTGGATTCAGGCACTTGGTTTGAAAATTGTAGCCTTAAGCTTTTCTTGGTGTGTGTGTGTATGGTGAGAGAAGGAGGTGAGGCATTACAAGTACTTAAAACCGAGCGATTAGGCTTTCCAGCACTCCAAGGAATGGTAGACCAAATGCGTAATATTAACAGATGAGCCATGAGGAAGAGGGAGGGAAATTCCCCGGAACGAAAGGTGGCCTATTAATGAGGAGAAGAAGCAAAGTTTAATTAATCCGTCTTTCTCCACATTGCACTGGCATATGGTTAATTTTAATTTGGCCTTGTGTTACAGCATCAGGGTCATCTGCTTGGCTCCTCACAAGGGAAACTGTTATGAGCAGCTGTTTTTCTTGAAGCTGCATATCGCGTGCTAGACATAGTTGCCCTTTTAGTGCTTTGTAGTCACAGCTTAATTGGATTTGCCTCCTCTTAGTTGCTTAATGTGCATCTCCCTTTATTTTGCCTGCCTTGCTTTCCGTGCGGGGATCACTATTGGTTTGCAAGAGGACTGAGAGCAGGAGACTCATACCTATTTCATGGGATGTTCCCCATTCTGCTGGTGCTAGCTTACCAGTGCATTTCTATGGTACGTAGTGATGAGATGGCTCGTTTAGTTGGGAAGGTTTGCACAAATGTTGAATGCTACTGCACAATGCTGGTGTGGCAAAAAAAAAACGTGATGGGTAAACTGCTGAGCGTTTAAATGCTTTCTTGAGCTCAAAGGTTCTGATTGTGCCTGGCTTTTGAGTAGAAAGTTCATGGGGGGAAAGGGTCACCATGAGCACATGTGCACAAAGGTCAAGTGCAAGCAAGCCCTGAGTGTGTAATCAACAGAAGAGAAGAAATAGTGTGTGGGATGGTTCTGACCCCTAGCACATGCTAATGTTGCATAGCATTATCTCTGCATCACATGGCACTCCCCAATGGAAATTCCCAGACACCTTTCCTTGCAGCTCTCACGTGATCTGGGTGTGTCTCACCAAATCAATTCTCTGCCATTGGTGCGTCTCAATTCTTCCTATTCTCGGCCTGTGGCACAAAATAGTTCAGTCTAATCTAGGTTATTGGGTTAAATACAGTGATAACTGGATGGAGGTTAGTGGCTTGTGACGTGCAGGAGGTCAGAGGTAGATGGTCCCTTCTGGTCTTAGACAAGGCTGTCCATCGTTTAAAGGCAGAGTATGGACAAATGTTTGGGTGTAATGATGATGAAAAGAGTCTTTTGGAGCACAGCAGAGGGACTACCCTTAGTCCAAAAAATGGAATAAATGAGCAACATTGATCCCAAGGACAGGAGAATAGCAGTGTCACTGTGCCACTCATCTGTCACCTTTAATGATCACGGGAATCAGTTGGCATTCTGAAAATAGAGAGATTCAGTTTGCCTTCGAATAGCCAAGTTGTCAGTGGAGTGAATGCTGAAACAGGCTGTTGCATCGAACTACAGTTTTTACTAGATAGCTGAGTGAAATGCTTTACCTTCTGAGAATCTATATCCACGGAGAACTCACCGTTCAGTTTGCACGCTCCTTCTGGGCATGGGAATTTCTCTCAACCTCTCACTTTTTAGGCATGTTGAAAAGCTTTATTGTGTCTTTCTGAAGGCTACCAAAATTCCAGTCGGGTGTAACAAGACCCAAAGAATGTTCAGTGACCTCCTAGATCAGTGGTTCTCAAACTTTGAGAACCCCTGTCCTAGATACATGCTCAGATGCCTAAGGTGGCTTCTAAGGTCTGCCTTTCATGATGTGTACCCTTTTTCATCCCGTCTGGTTTTGAAGACCATTTTCTCTAGCAAGAACAGAGATGAAGGAGGTGGGAGAGCCTTTATTTTTGGGGGTAGGGTTGTTTTTGGGAATGATTTAAAAACAAATTACCATGACTGCAATATGCACTATTCCCACTGTCTTTCTCTGTCTGGCATTATGCAGGCTGTTTTGTACTGAAGGTGTTGCTTCAGAGTTAACTAATGTTGCCTGGGTGCTCACTTCCAGCTCTCTGTATTTTCTTATAAGTAGATGCAAAAGCTAGAATGGAACTAGGCCTGGTTGCCAAGGTCAATATGTCTCCGGTGATCTTCTTTGACAGTTGACTATAGGGTGGTTATTAAGTATTTTCCACTTCCAGGTGAATGAGAGCTTAGCTGAATTTCTTTGCTTGCATGGACGGTGTATAATTTATTTTGATTATTAGATCAATGTAGACTAATGGTACTTTCTTTCCAGCAGTTTAACTTCTTATTCCAAAGATGAAAGTGACAGAAGCACAGCAACTTCATGTATTCTAAATAAAATATGGCCATTAGGCGGTAGCCAAAGCTATGTGAATACCAGCCTCCTAGTCTACAGAAACACGAAGTTCCTCCAGTGCTTCGTGGGATACACAGTAGATTAATCATGTTCAGGTGTCTCACTTAGGAACTGAAGCTTTGCCTTTTAGCCCAGCGTTCTAATTGCTAAACATTATATTGGCTTGAGGGTTCAGCTGTCATTGACTTTACTGAAGAAACTGAAGTGCAACAAAGTAGTAAGTCTGCCACCATTACTCACACAGTAAGAACCACCCAAGGTGAGCCAGAGTGGCCAGTTTAGTAGTCTCTGAGAACCTAAGAATGGCCATATTGGGTCAGAACAAAGGTCCATCTAGCCCAGTATCCAGTCTTCCGACAGTGGCCAATGCCAGGTGATTCGGAGCGAATGAACAGAACGGGTAATCATCAAGTGATTTGTCCC